AAGATGACTAGCATACAATTTACTCTGTCTGTACAACTTAATAGCATACAATGTAAATGACTAATTGATACATAATTGGTAGGATCCAATCTTTCACTTTATTTATAAATTGCAGTAATTACTTCAAGTCCACATTTGGATGGAATGTATGCAGTACATTCAATGCACATAAAATCTTTAAGGACATTGGTCACTGGTCTAAATTCAACTTAAGCAATTTGAGTCAGAAATTAAAATGCATGAGCATAAGTGAAAGTGAGCAGAATTTTAGAAACAGAGCAATTATAAAATTAGATAAAAGCCAACGTTTACACCATTACCACCATTTCTTGTAAAGTCTATGTTAATATCAGAAGGTGAAACAAATTATTGATGTAGTTTGTGTGTTTGAATGTGTTAGCAGATTGGTGAAGGTGAATCAAGTGTTATGCAAGAGAATGAAAGCAAAGTATCTGCAAGAGTGAAGTTTCATGATTCTGTCAGAAAAGTCAAACAACGGCTACAGGTGAGGAAAATAGGTCTGTTTCCCCTTTCTCCATGCCATCCTTCATTTTCTACATGCCTATGCTATCTTCTCTTATTTCACTTCCCCATTGTAAACTAAACAGCTATAAACTTTGTAGCCCAAAGGCTTCTTTCTTGGTTAATAACTTCTCAGATCCCTTCAGTATATAGGGGAAGCTTTGGGCTGAAATGGTACATGTAAATGGTAATATTATAACTGCACATGTTAAATGTCAGGCAGCCTTTTCACACCATGGTTCTCTGGAAGGAGGAGATATTATATTGTTCAGTGCTCTGCTCACCAGCAACACAGAACTCCTTTCTTTGGTAGGGCTGGTTGTCGTTAAGGTCAGTTTGTGAGTATGGTTGTGGCAACGATGCCACAGTTGTAAATGTAAATGTAAAACAAAGTTGTAAATCTAGTTTATGACATCACGTAACAGCATGTAACAGGATTCTGACTAGAATGTGTGTGTTTTTTTTCCCTTTCAGCCTGATTTTATCACCATACACATGTTTACACTGAATTGTCTTTACAGTTATAATGCCCATCCTCTCAGTTTAGAGAGAGGCTTTTGAAGTGTTAACTATCTGTTTTTATTCTAGCCATTCTACTGCTTACCCCTATTTCCAGGTCATTCATGAGCAAGTTGAAAAGCATTGGCCCCAACAGTGATTCCTAGGGGTCTGTGTTTACATTTATCCATTGTAAGACTAACCATTTTTCCTTCCATAATCTCTGCTTCTTTAACCATTTACCTGACAATTACACAATTTCTTTTTGATTCCACAACTCTTACGTTTGCTCAGGAGTCTTTAGACATTGGGAAAGTGAAGCCAGGATTTATTCCAAATTTGACAAGGAGCTATCCAATGTAGTGAACCATGTCCATAAAATAGATTCAGCTCCTTGG